GCCTTACTCTATGTATACAATTTTACTTTGTTGTTACTGGAGTACTATACATACTATTTTTTAGTGTCCCAAATAAAATAGCATATATAACCGGAATCTATTAGAGCAGCGACCCACAAGGAACTAAATAAATGTGACAAATAAAAACCTGTGACAGTTGTTCATTTTAAGAAAAGGGAAATGTTTATTCGTAAATAAAATGAAAACCACTGGGTTTTGATATAGGGAAAATTTAACAAAGTTTCACTTAATTTTAGTGCAGAATGCGAATACGTTAAAAAAATTAGGGGTTTCCATTTAAAAATTTCGAGTATTCCACATTTTCTGAACTTCATATTCAATTTTTTTTTGACCACCCTGTAAAAAAACTGGAAAATTTTCATGTCAAATTCGATAAATTAGGTCTTCCTCTCTAAAATGTCCAATTTACACCAAAAAATAAACCTATGTTTCCGAGAAAACTAAATTTTGCTGACAGTCTGCATCTGTCAATTTTTGCTTAAAAATCAAATCAAATTTGTTCATTGTTTGGGAATGTTGCAGAAGCAAGCCTTATATCATAACTTATAAGTTGAGAGCTTTATTTGGTTTCTCTATTTCTGAACAGTCCAGAATCATCGCAGAACTATAAACGCAATAGACAAAATGCTGAACGATTCGGAACTATCCGGAGTTATTTGAAAACCAGAACGCATTACAAAAATATACTCATAAAATCCAATAAAAAGATGCTTTTCTTAAACGAAAAACAGGAAATGAGAAAATTATGAATGCCAAACGGAGCTTGGGAAAATGGGAATAACTACGCATGCGCCAAATAATACAGTTCTAAGCAATTCGTGTTAGAGAGTTATAACTACTTCGGATGATTCAGAATGGTTCCGAATCAAGTTCGAATAAAGCCAAAACAAACATCTGCGAAATTCTGAACCGTTCAAAGTAAACATGAACGCATATTTCAGACTGCGCATGATTAGAACGGTTCGGAACCGGATTTTATGGGAATCAAAACAAAGCTGAGATCGGCAATGTTAGAGTGGCTGCAATGTGGTACAGGGCTGGCCGGGTTCTCTTTTATGTAATTTTAGTCAAACAAAAAGTGACACGACCGTTGCCTTCTTATAACTGCACACTTTAAAAGAATATGGTGCCTATATGTAAGTACATATTTGCATAACAGTATGAAAACAAAAAGGGCAGTGTCTATTTTTCTACACTAAACGCTTCATACTGAACTTGCCATAAAATATATAGGTGTAGTACGTAATTATAAGTATCAGCAAAAGTTAACAAAATAATAATTTCTTACTTCTTCTCTTAATTGTCTTCAGCTGTTGGTAAATATTCATTTCAAAAACGAAAATGACAGTTCAACATTTACTGAAGTTACAGGCGCATATCTAAAATAGTCGAAGTTTTTCATATATGCTATTTTTACTAATGGTGGCAAACCATCAACTACTTCACATTTTAGTAATCTCACAAATCTGTGTCATTGTACAGGGTGGTTGATTTTCGATAGTTTTATAGGGTACAGCCAAAACGGTGATAGATACAAAAAATCTGATATCGATGTTCTGTCCTCTTTTTTTGAGTTTACTTCGCTGGTACCAAAAGATCCTGGCCAACTTGATTAGTTTTAGATATACAGGGTTTTATTGAAAAATGGCCCATTTACGTTAACCTCTCTAGCTCCGTTGTCATTCAATTTAGAAGAAAAAAGTGTGCATATAACGTGTTCTATTTTTTATTAGGAAGCCAGTGGCGTACTCAGACTTTTTACAAATCGCACAGTTTTTCCGATATTACATTAGTTACATAGGTTTTTTTAAATAGACCACCCTGTATTTGGCCATCCCGCTGAATAGCATTTTTTTTATCTTTTCAGACATATATAATAATAGATACTTTTTATTTAGCTAAATGAGGAAAAATGCAAAAATGTATAGATATTTTTTCAGTTGGCCAAGTTATTTATTTATTAGTCTTTTGTTGTTTAATATTGACAGTTAGTTTATTTTTGACTCATTGAAAGCTTATTAAACGTCTATTACTGGGTTTTATTAATTTTGAAAGGTATAAAAAAGGTGTACGAAAATCTTCACAAAGTTCAAATGTTAGAGTGTTACATTGAAAGTGAAAAAAATAGTGACACAGCTTTAAACTTATATTTGGAGAGATACCCAGAGCGTCATCAGCCAGAAAAGAAAATTTTTAGCAGACTCTATGATAACTTGTGTGAGTTTGGTTCTTTTCACAAACCGAGAGCTAAATCTTATAATATACAGAATAGAGAAAATGATGAAATCAATACTTTAGCTTTTGTTGTCGCAAATCCCAATATATCCAGCGGAGAAATTGAAAGGACGATAGGAATTGGTAAATTCAAAGCATTGAGAATTTTTTAAAACCACAAGTTTCGACCATATACTATAAGAAAAGTCCACCATTTGCATCCAGGAGATGAAGAGAGACGCGTCATTTTCTGCCAATGGTTTTTGCAACAAACTCATGTAGACTCCATTTTTTTTTCAAAATGTTATTTGGACCGACGAGGCTTTTATAAGCAGCGAATCAACCGGCATAATGCGTGTTATTGGTCAGATGTGAATCCTCACCAAACTGTGGCCAGAATTCAACAAGGGCGGTTTGGTTTTCATGTATGGGTAGCTCTCTTCCATAATAGACGAAATGTATGATGAAAACCTTAACGCTCAGAAATATGTGAGAATTTTACAAGAAAATATTATTGAACCGCTGGACGATATGCCACTAGCTCAACGATATCACATGTTCTTTCAGCAAGATGGTGCGCCTGCCCACATAGTTAGAGAATTATTAAATCATAATTTCGGGGACAATTGGATCGGTACGTACGGACCAAACAGGTGGCCGCCTAGGTCACCAGACCTAACCCCTATAGACTTCTATTTTTGGGGGGATCTCAAAGACAAAATTTATAAGTATAGAGCTAATAATGTCGAGAAGCTAAGAGAACATTTTGAAAACTATATTCAGCGGGCGTCAAATATATACATTTACAATGCGAGCCGCTCCATTGCCAATCGTTGTCAATTATGTATCAACGAAAATTGCCGACAATTCGAGAACTTGCTATGACTTTGTTATGTCATTTTTGTTTTATTGTTGTTTCTCTCATTTTATAGGTGTTATATTTGTTTAGTTTATGTTTAATAGTTATAAGTGTACTTATAATTAAACCTATTAAGTAAAGATAAACGGATAATCTAATTTATTTTTTCTTGTAATTTTTTAGTCTGAGTTAGGTGCCTAATATAAAAAAAAAATAATAGACAACGAAGAGACCAATACTAAATAAATCTCATGGCCAACTGAATAAATATCATTTTTTAAATTTTTCTTCATTTAGGCAAATAAAAAGTATCTGTTATTATATATGGCTGAAAAGGTAAAAAATGCTATTCAACGGGATGGCCAAATACAGGATGTTCTATTTAAAAAAACCTATGTTTATGTAATATCGGAAAAACTGTGCGATTTGTAAAAAATCTGAGTACGCCACTGGGTTCCTAATAAAAAATAGAACAAATTATGTACACACTTTTTTCTACCAGCGAAGTAAACTCAAAAAAAGAGGACGGGACATCGATATCAGATTTTTTGTATCTATCACCGTTTTGGCTGTACCCTATAAAACTATCGAAAATCAACCACCCTGTACAGTGTACAAATTCTGCCACTGATCTTAGGCTTCGCATCGATCAATTTATTCCATACGTATCTAACGACACCCTACTGCCTGCCCTGTCGGTCTGGCGTGCCGATGAACAATCCAAGTTTTTTGCTGAGGGTCGTTGGCCGTGTATTTATTTCATTGTCGTTTGCGCTTGTGTGTTTGACACTTTGCTTGGTCGAGTGTATGGCACGTATTTTATGGCAATCAGTAGCACTGTGTATTGTGAACATAGAGCGGCACGACAGATTTAGACTATCCTGCTTTTTTATTGTCGCCACAAAGTTTCCGATGTCTACTTATAAGTTAATTTCGTTTTTCTTGGCGAATTGCTGTAGTATCAGTTATGCTATTTATATTTTTCTTTATTTATAACTAATATGGATAAAAGCGAAAAAAAAAACGTTGATTAGAATTAAAATTGTGCCTCCATATAATATCGTAATTTAAAATAATTCTATTTTTCAGTCCACTCTCTTTACTGACATTTAAGAATACCTAAGCTACTCACAATCTGAAGCAAAGAAGCTTCTACTCCAACTAACCAGTGACAGATTTCAGTAAACAGAGCCTTGTTTTCTCTTTGGTGGTAGTTTGTTATCCTTAATTGAAATTGCAGTTTAAAATGTCAAACTAAACATCCGTTCTTGCAGCGCAAAATCCACAACCGTTAGCGAACAGTCCATAACCGTACATGAGTAATAAAAATAGTTTGCGAACTATCAGAAATTTTTTGTAGAAACAAAGTAATGTTACGGGAATCATTCTTTTCGAAATTGTGAAAAGTTTAAACCTATAAATTGCGATTTTGCCGTTGTGTCAAAATTTTTTTTTAAAACCTCGAGCTTTTAATTCCACACTGCAGATTAAATCTATTTGAGAACTCAGTGATAGTATAGTGTAAAAAAACTGATATCTAATTCTTTAAACATCAACAATCTGTATCTTAAAAATCGGTGATTTTAGACTTCGTTTTAAATCCTTAGTTAATCAGGTTTTTTATTTTAAAATAATAAATAAAACTATATTGTCCGATTTATTTCAGCCTAGTATCGGATTTTACCTTGATCCATCTTCAGATTTCCGATTAGTATTTTGCGTTTTTTTATTATTTAAGCAAATAAATATGTTTAATAATTCAACGTTTTTTACAAAATTTCTTATCCCAGACCATCTCGTTTGTGAACTTTATAAATACCATCCGCATGTAAACGTTTACGTACAAATCGTACAACACGTGTAATGATAAATCGTCAAGATTATTATAAAAATGTGCACCACTCACCTCACGTTTTCGTGTTTCTGGATGTAAATTTTATGGAATTGACCTTCGACCGGCGATATTATATCATTTTTCATTTCCATGGCGACGTGTTGGGGCAGCACCGACAGGAGGAGCCTTTCCTGCAAACACAGACACTTTCAAACGCCAAGTTCACACGCCTCTACCTTTACTCGGTTTCCATTTCATTTTCTAATTAAGCTAATAGGACTATAACAGCACATTGACCATTTACAAATATGGTAGATTTTAATAAATCTTCGATATAAAGGGTGTCCAGTTTACACCACTTTGGGGGAGGGGGGGTTTCTATTGGAATAATAATGAGTTTTTCTTAATTATCTTTAAATCGGGTAAAGATAAAAATGTCAAAACAAATGTACACGCATAAATATTGTCTTAAGAAAAACTGCAAATTACTTTATTCCCAATAGCAGTGGAAAAATAAGCTAAAACTCAAAATTTCTTAAATATTCTAAGGGTTTTGCATAATACAAAAAAGACAGACGAGTTGAAAACGTGTAGGATAGAGATAACATAAAACGACAGAAGTAAATTTAAAAATATAATTTAGTAGTCACAATACAGGGCGATTCAGTCATCACGCAATAATTTTAACCACGTATTCGGAAAACTTAAAAAAGACCAAAAACTGAAAAAAAAATTAACTAGACCTTTTAAAATATAAGTAAATTACCCCTTAATTCCTGTTAATTCGGCACCCTAGTTCGTAATACGGAACGCGCCCGGTCGGCGGAGTACAAAGCGTTCGAACGTTGAACCGAAACAGCTGATTTCCTCAGTCGTCTTTAATTTTGTAATTGGTTTCAAAATCAAAGTGCAGTGAATCACAACTTTATTAAGATATTATGGGCGGGTGAGCAGTACTGTCATTTTAAATAGATTGTTACCATACTACTCTTTGAAAAGTTACACAATAAGGTCCACGTACTACAAACTGAATAATTAATTGAACGTAATAGTAGAAACTCATATTCAATTATAAAACGTAGTGAACACGTTAACAATATTAAAAACACTGAATTGTAGCAACCTAATATTAAAAAACAATTATTATCCTTATACAATATATATCCTTTCTTAACAAATAAATAATACCTGTTAATATTTAAAATGTAAAAAAAATATCTTATTCATTCATGTGTCTAGGTAAAAAGCTCTGTTTATTCGTTGTTGTTCATTACGGATTAAAACCGCATTAGAAACTAGGTTAATGACCGACTACTACAGTAGATTCACTCTCACTAAACCCTTGTGGGTCAACGGTCATGAGCGGTCCGAAAAGGGGTTCAAATAATGATTTGAAAATAGTTTTTTTTCAGCGTAAATATGTATTTTAATTTTTTTAGTCACGTATTCGTATTCTACTAATTTTTTTTTAATGATATTATGACTGAATCACCTTGTACATCGAATAATGAAATTGCAAATATTTTATTAACTTAAGGCAAATTAATAATAGGGAAATAACTTATTTTTTAAGTTTCAATATGTTAAAGTTGAACAATAAAAACAGTTTAAACTTTGCCTTCCATAAATCTGTAAAAATAAAAATCTAAAAGATTCAGGTCGGGTGACCTGGCAAGCCAATTTACGGCTGCATCTTGCCGTTATCCAATTCACCGCCCAGCAAAATGGTTATTAAGGAACTACTACTAATCTTCAAGGGTATATCTTCTATAGATCTGGCAAAGGATGTTCCAAGAAATTTAAATACTGAACATCATTTAAATGTGGCGGCAGTTCAACTAGTCATAAATGGTCACCGAGAGTCCAGTCCATATATTAACAACAATTGATATTGGGTAGGTACATAGCTGTTGCCTTTTTATTATTGTCACTCCATTCATGTTGTGTAATTACTACATTTTTTGTAAAACGCGACTCGTCAGTCATTATTTTCGTTGTGTTTATTTCTGAACCGGTTGCCAAAATATAGTCTAGCATTGTTGTCCTGGGGTAAAATTTATTGAACTCTTATTAGGCGACAGATAAATAATTGTTGTTCTCTTAATGTTATGTGGATCACAGATTTAGAAACATTGACTTCAGTTTAGACTTGTGTGAGGATTCTATTTAATGGTATTTAAAACGGCTTCTTCCACAACTGTAGTCCTTACCTAGCGCAGACGCGCGCGTTCTCTAGTATGAGCCAAAAAAGTACCTTCTAGAAACCTTCGGCCAAATCCAGCAAAAGCACTGGGTTGAAAAACTTGTCGACCTGGAAATTTTTTAGCATATCGTCTTGCTAAAGAATTACATCTACATTTTCCATATACCAAAAGGCATGTCGGCCAATTCATTACTGCACTGATTTTACAACATATAGTTAATACAGTTGTTTTGATAACATATTTTTCTTTCAATTATTTTCCTCAAGCAATCCGTATCCACGCCACTGCTATTTGGATAAAAATGACTTGCACGTTTTTCTTAAGACACAATTGATATTTATTCGTGTACAAATTTCGAAATTTTTATATTTCAAAGGAAAAAATTTAACACCCAGTTTTTTGAAGTATCAAAGGACACCCTGTATATCGTATACGAAACGGTTAAAGAACATCAATAAAAATTTTTTACGTACCATAACGGTGTATATATACGGTGTATATTATACGTTTTTTGGGTCGCTGAATCCGAATCCGAGGTCCATTTAACCCATCACCTCCAGATTTTTCATAACCTCAAAAAAATCGATATTCTAAACATTTAACCCAACCTAATAAGCCCATGAACTCAAACCCCAATAACCCTATAATCCCATAACCCCATAACCAAGGGAATAAATCATAGTCAATCTGTATTATTGCAAAACATCATATATCCGAGTATTCCTTGAAAATCCAAGTACTCAAACCCTAAAAAATCCCATAACCCTATAACCCCGTAACTTCATAACCCCATAACTAATAAATCATAGGCAATCTGTATTATGGCTAAACGTTAACGTGGTTGAGGATTTCTTAAAATCCTATGCACTCAAGTCATTCTAGTAATATAATTTTTTGGGTTATCTACTGTTATCCTTTAGATTTTAATTTCATTTAATTCCAGTCAAGAGAGATTCTTAACATTTCTCATTCATTTATTTATTTTAGTTTTATTGATTAATTTATAGTACGGTCTATCCTACAAATTAATTTTTTTTCAAAAGCTCTTATGCGAGCTATATGATGTACCAAATCCGATCGCGCAACCACTTCGAGGTGTATATTGTGTAACGCTAATGTCGACGGTCCTACCTATTAAACTTATAAAAAAAAACTAGATCGACTGTAACACTCGGTTTTCGAATCGTGGGGTTATGAATTGTAGGGTCATGGGGGTTTTGGGGTTTGAGGTTTTTAAGAAATTCTCAACCACGTTAACGTTTAGCCATAACATAGATTGCCTATGATTTATTAGTTATGGGGTTATGAAGTTACGGGGTTATGGTGTTATAGGGTTATGGGAATTTTTTGGGTTTGAGTACTTAGGTTTTCAAGCAGTTCTCAGCTGTGTGATGTTTTGCAATAATACAGATTGTCCATGATTTATTCGCTTGGTTATGGGGTTATAGGGTTGTTGGGGTTTGGGTTCATGGGCTTATTAGGTTGGGATATCATTGGGTTAAATGTTTATAGGATTTGGTTGATTGGATTTAGCGTTGGAAGCTTGAGTCTTATGGTTATATGGTTTAATTGTTCAGAATATCGTTTTTTTTTGAGGTTATGAAAATTCTTGAGATGATGGGGTTAAATGTACCTCAGATTCGGATTCAGCGACCCAAAAAACGTGTGATAAACATGGTCTGACCTTTGAGCCCGAAACTCAATTTTTTGTGTAGCTGTGTTATTAAAGAACACCTGATTTGGAAGAAGCTGTTCACTCATTAAAAGACCTTGTTTATGTTGCTTGTCATATAAGTAAGCCAAATTTTCACGTTACTCAAGATTGAGAGTAATATGGCAACAAGAAGTTGGTGAGGACTATGGCTATATAAAAGTTTCTTTACTGACCAACATCAAACTGAAGGAATTATAACAAAATGCCCTATTCATCTTGTTTGCCATAGTAATAAGTAAAATTGCCATAGGTAGATGAACACAGACCATCTAGGAGAAGCATAATGACGCACATTTCCCCATCTTACTGTACAAAGATATATCCATGTCAAAGGAGATATTCTCGCCCATAACTGCCGGTAAAAAAAACTGATGTGACATTTAGCAAACAATACGGAGCTTTTTCGCATATTGTTTACTTTTTAATTTCCTTTATTGGTTGTAGGTACGTTGGAAAGGCAAAGGTCATTCGCATTCAGCAAAGTTGGGGCAACAGATAAAATTTAACGAGAAAGTGCAAATTTGCATAGTCCGGAAAGGTGAGACGGTACGTAATCCTGACGGTGAAAGGGGAACAAGCGATGAATATCAATGATTTCCAGTTCCCGAACCTTGTTTCTATATGGCCCTTTACAACCAGACCACAGAGAATCACATTAATATTCGAAAAGGAGATCAGGATGATATTTGTCAACGAGCCACTGAGGTCTTTATTTTTCTTTCAAATTAAGAATTAAAATGTTTTCAGTAAAATGAAAATCATTTAAAAATCACCCCTTTACAAATGACAGAAGAACGAAAGATCAAACAACTGCAAATTTTTTACATTTTGCATAATATAAGACATTTAGGATGGTTTATTTTTTTGTTGAGTACAACTTACCAGTTTTTCGTTTTCGTCCTCCATTTCCAACCTGGCGGCGATGCAGTTTCTCGTGTCCAAGAACGCCTTCCTCTGCGCGTGCTCCATTAGATTGTGCATGAAGATGCCCACCACGTTCACGCAAAGAAAAACCACCACGTTGGCACCCAACTGAAGCAAACAGAAAAACATTGTTTCAAAAATTTGTTTAATAACTGAAAACGTGATTTTACAGGTTAAAACTATCCTTTACATATTTCGAACAAATTTAAGACACAATATTTGTGTACAGTTTGTTCCCAAGCGAGCCTACAATAATTGACCGTGTTGTAATAATCTTTAATCTGATGTGTTTACATTTTGATATAGCTTCATGTCAGCTGATCTTGAAAGTTATTTCTCTCAGAGTCCTAAATAATATAGGCCAGGAAAATAAGCTGGGAAATGACCATTTCGCGACTTTTTGTTTCGGCAAATTGAATTTATCACTATAGATGCTAAATATTATGTACAATAACATATTAGTTTCCACAGTCATAAAAATAGGGAGAAGATTGTTACAGGGTGGTTAATTGTATAATTTTTACGTAAATTTACGTTTTTCATTTATAACTTTTTTCCGTTCACTTCCACGAGAAAACAGTAAGGTACTTTTTTTTTCGTCTTCAAAAGATCTACAAAACTAGTCAAAAAATATTGATTACAGAAAAGTAATAAACAGAAGAAGTTTTGAATTAAACATTTATAAACTGCGTTATTATTACCAGAACGTATTGGCAGCGCATCCTCTCATTCCTCCTAATAACTCACATGAAATCTGGAATCGGTAAGTTAAATAGTTTACAAGTTATGGCCTTATAAACAAATTAACTAATTATTAGTCTGGACGATCCCGAAGATCTTCCACAATCGCACTGATTTTTTTCATGGTAGATTTCATAATAATACATTGAAATGTATAATTTTTTTTTATTTCAAATTTGCAACCTGGAAATTTTTTTAATTTTTGAGCCTTAGTTGTAAAATGAAATATACGACGCATGAACGTGATATAGTTACATATTATTACATATTCGGAAAGCTTATGAAAAGAGCTTACAGACTGTCAAAGTTGACGGCTTATTGAACAAATTAGGTTGTTAGCGGCAAAAAAATACTGTCATAACCGGCAACCTGAGTACTTTCCCAGATAAAAATATTTTATTTGTGGAAGTATGTTAAGTGCATAAGAAATATTGTCAAAAGTCAGTGGGTCGCTTGATTTTCGGCGAGCCGTGGCGCGGCGGAAGGGTGGGGGAAGCGAACGACAGCGAGTCCGA